AGGAAGGCCCCCCAGACCTCCACCCAGCAGCTGGCTTTGCGATCAGAGCAGCTGAACCAGGGAGAAGGGGACCTGGCTGGGCCTGCCCCCAAGCAGACCCCACCTGGTGTGCTTTCCAGAGCCTAGAGCACAAAGCGACTCTCCTCTCCACCCCTGGGCACAGGAGAGCCAAGGCTATGAGGGACAAGAGAGGGCAAGACAGGAGGACAGCACCTGCCTCCCGGTATTTAAAAAAGAAGAGGGTCCTGGCTGGGAGGCTCAATTGGTTGGAGCATCATTTCTTCCACCAAAAGGCTGAGGGTTTGGTTCCTGTTCAGGGCACGAACCTGGGTTGCTAGTTCAAGCCACAATTGGAGCACATACGGGAGGCAACCAATCAATCTCTGTCTCTCAAATAAGTAAAAAATAAAATAGATAAATAAATAAATATATTAAAAGGGACCCTAATGGAGGGATGGTCAGGTCCTTAATCCTAATAGGCTCCCATGGAAGTTAATGGGTGAATGGAGACAGCTACCAGAAATGTTCATTCCAATTCCAGCCCCCTCTCCTGCCCCACCCCCGCACCCCTATACAATGGAGCAGAAGCCCCTCACTTCCTTACAAACACAAGGGGAATAACCATTTTTCTCAACACATTCTCTCACCTAACCCCCAAAACAACCCCGTGAAGTACACACTATAAATGCTTTAGGTGTTACAGTGAAGTAAATGAGTAAGAACTAGAGTCAGGTGAGGTCTACTGGCAGACTATGACATAAATCCTCTGTTAGCAAAAGTGCTTCCTCTAGGACAGCGAAGCTGCTTGTGCCGGGATGGACTTGTGATTCTGCTCTGAAGTTTAAAGAAGAGGCACCGACCCCTTAATATAGTTTACTCTCCAAAGGCCCTTCTAGGCTTTGAACTCTGTCATGCACGGCGTTTCCTTCTCCCACTGCATGACTGAGGTTTTAATTTTTACATGAAACAAAGCCCAGGAGAGTTCAAAGAGGGCTGTTTACAAAAATAAAAGCCAAGAGGCATCAATATTAATAAAGCTAAACTAAAAAGGTATTTAATAACCATTGTGAAATTACAAACAGTGACTAATTCGATCCAAACAACTAGGTCTGCTCAAATTGCAACAGCTCTAAAACCGAGATAGAATGAGGCAAGAATTTGCTTTGCTTCAGTGGTCAAAATGAAGGGCCCATTCAAGGGAAAGGCCAGCGATGCAGCGACAATGGAACACTTGGGCCATCTGGGGCCCTGGGGAAGGAAGTTGGGACACAGTACAAAGCAAGATGATCACTACAGTACCACCTGGGAACTTGAAAGAATATGTGAATAACAAAGAAAAAAAGACATTTCTCACAAAAGACCAAACAGTCATTTGGCCAACATCTGAGAGACTCTTACAGAAGCCACAAAGCCTCGGGTGTGAACCTGCTCAGAGGACGCAAGCGAACAACCTAATCAAAGAGACGTCACGGCATACGGACGGCACACGGACACGGGAGAACAAGGCGAGATGCCCTGTGCCCCAGTGCGCAAGAACTGAGCGTGGGCAAAAGGCACTTCACGAGAGGTGTGCAAAGGCAGCGAGGTCATTAGTGAATGAAAGAAACCAAATCTAAAGACCATGTACCAATTCTGTCTACTGCTTTGGGTTGCTTCCCGATTATTCTTTAAAATAGCCTCTAATAATCTGGAGAATAGGATATTTAGTGAAAAACTCTACGGAACCCAAGTTCAAGTCACTAAGATGCACTCTTCCAATTAAAAACACACCGCATTTGCCCGGCCAGTGTTGCTCAGTGGTTAAGCATCGACCCATGCACCAAGAGGTAACCAGTTCGATTCTCAGTCAGGACACATGCCCAGGTTGTGGGCCCCATCCCCAGTGGGGGGCATGCAGGAGGTGGCCATTCAATGTTCTCGCTCATCAATGTTTCTCTCTCTCTCCCCTCTCCCTTCATCTCTCTCTAAAGTCAATAAAGAAGAAAAAAAAATATTCTCTATTTAAAAGAAGCACACACCACATTCATTCAATTGCCTAAATGGAACAGCAAGGCACTAGCATCTTGCTGTAGGCCTGTGTCCTGGCCTCCACGTCTTACTCAGTAAGCCACACACCCAGCCTCAGGAGCAGTCAGCTATTCTGGTTTAGATGTCATATTGGTAGAAAGGAACAAATGAATGAGTAAATACCACTCAAGAAGAAACTTGCTCCAGGGCCCCAAACAACAGGGAGGCGGAGAAAGCCTGGCTGCTGTCAAAAGCTGGCGGTAAGGCCAGCACTGCAGGGCAGGGGAGGACTCGCACACCCGGCTTGTGGGGTCATGACAGGCTTCATTCGAATTTCCAAAACCATCTCCTGTCGCTCACCCCATTGTCCTAAATGAGACAAATTGGTCATCTCTCTGACCACGTAATTAGATCTTTTTTATTTTTTTTTTAACAAGAACTTTTAAAACCAAGTGGTTGTTGGCTGAGGATTTCCCAAAACATGACATTTCTTTCCTTAATCAAAACCAAAACAGAGAGGTGGAGCGCTGTGCTTCTCTAACGACGCCAACTACTTCAGCGCGGAGCGGGCTGGATTTAATGTCCTATCGACAATGACAGAGCCAACAGACTTTTCATAAAAGGGGCCTTAAAAATATTAATTCAACTTTACATTTCTTCTGAATAAAATCAAGGGAGACAGTGATGCTTTTTACTCGCAATGTCCCAAAACGGAAACTTTAAATTCCAGTTTTTTTCACTGTATCAAAAGTATTAGCATACAGGGGAACCTGACACTTTAATAAAATGGAAAACTAAGTAACCAACTTTTTCAATGTTTTTTTTTTCACTGTATCAAAAGTATTAGCATACAGGGGAACCTGACACTTTAATAAAATGGAAAACTAAGTAACCAACTTTTTCAATGTTTCTAAAAAGCAAAATGACTGCTTAAAAAGACCAAAAAAAATAAATCAGTAAATTCAAAGGTTTCTGCCAAGTTAAAATATACTGTAATAATCTAGGGACTGGATGAACATATTCTAAATGTACACCCTAATTAATGTACAATCTACATTATCAAAACACCTGATGATTTATTCCTATTCAATATACAAGATAATTTTACCATTTTCAACCATTCCTTTGTTATGTTGAAAAAAAAAAAAACATCTCTTCCTTAGAGCTTGGATTGCAAATGAGGTGTGCCTCCTTTGACAGGCAAATAGGCCAAATGATAAAAAGGGAACGAATCTGTTTGTGGAATTTATGACTATTAAAAATAAACAGCTGAGGTTAGGGGAAGAAACAGTCCAGCCTCATTGCTTACTCCTCCAAGTTCTTAGAATTCCTCTGCACAGATCTTTACTTGTTCGATAACCTATCCTTTACTTTGTCGCTAATAACATCAGTTGTATTAATGTTCCATCTGCAGTAAGAACTGGCTTTAGGTAGCTCCTTCAATCAGCTGTTCTATGACTATGTAACTCTCAACCACTTTATTCAATTCAGTAACACAATAAAGAAGTATCTGCTTTCATTAAGAAAATACAATGGCAAATATAAAACAAACTGAAGTGACTACCAAGCCTCAGACTCTGAGAAGACAGCAGATAATCATACAGAATGGATGGCTCAGTTGACTGGTAACTGAATATGGTGCTTTTTTCAAGCTGAAGAATTAAGCTCAGCCTAGATGTAGGGCAACGGGAGGATGTTACCTTTGGAAATATTGGTGTCTGATTCCTTCGCGATACTCTGACAAGCTGCATTCAGACTATTCAGACTAAGACAAAGATCACAGTGGCACACAGTCTTCCATTTCATCACCTCTCAGTGTGCTCTGGGGGTGGGGGACTGAGGGGAGACACTGGCCATGATACTATCATTGGGGTTGTCCTGAGGACACTTGGAATGTTGTTAACCAAGCCTGAACTCCACAAATATCTGAGTTGTTTAAAGAATTGCTCCAAAGAATGTCTTCACATGTGGGACATGGACTTAGTCCAAACTGACGACTCAGGATGCCTATCAACCAGGCTCAGAAGTCCCAGACTACTTGTCCTGGATTCTCCCGTTCACTTACAACAGGGAGAGGAGGGGAGGGAGGGGGAGGGAATGAGGAAGGAAGGAAGGAAGGAAGGAAGGAAGGAAGGAAGGAAGGAAGGAAGGAAGGAAGGAAGGAAGGCTGTTGGAAAACACTCCCCAAAAGAGAAAAAAAATTCTTGGCAGCTTTTTGTCTCTTCCAACTCTTACAAAGTACTTCCAAAAAGCTCCACTCTCTCTAACACTTGTTACGAAACAAACCTTACACCTGTGAAGCGTGCAGTTCCAGGAAATACCCAAGGAAACTCCCCTCAGAAATCTCAGCAGTCTACTGTTCACGCCCATGAGTGTGGTGAGTGAAACAGTGATCCCAGGACTTAGTCATGCATTACAGACGGAAAGTTTTGTCTTCACTAGTTTATCATTAATAACAGTATTGTCTTTACCAACCCAATTACTCAGTCTTCTCTGTAATTTCTTATGAAAATTGAGCAATAATTTTTACTTTATGACTACACTCTGAATTTAAACAAACAAAATATGACAATAGACATGTCGAACTCAGAGCATCTCAAACCCTTCCATATATGTCTAATAAGCCTTATAGCCCAGGCTCAGCAAGAGACTAATGTCAGACACTATCTTCTGTTCAGCCACCTGTGAAATCTGCTCCCATGAAAGGTGGGCTAAATTGGGAAGAGAGAAAAAGGAGATCCAAATGTTTTGACTGGAATCCACTTTGGAAGTCTGAATCTTTCTTGTAGGCATATGAGACTGGGGCATATATTTCATATTGCTCATGAAATGTTTGTCCCCCAACCCCCTGTATTAACCTTGAGAAGCCTTCCTAGGGAGCCTGTGAGATTAAAATGATAATCTTACAAATGAGAAAAAAAATCTTCCAAAAATAAAAAAAAAATGCATCTTAAAACACAGCAAAGAAGAGCCAGATCCCGCTCTCCACTTACCTGGGAAAGCGTGTGGATTGGGCGACCCTCTCTTAAGGCACTTAGAGCAGAGAATGTGCACAGTGTAGTGCAGTCCAGGCCATTCTTGAAGCAGGACATTCAGTTCTTCCACCAAGGGGGTTATGGCTTGCCATGCCGTCCATATGTTTGGTAATGATGCATGGCTGGCAATGGACAGAGTATCTGGCTGCAGAAACCCCTTGGCAGGTCTGTAACTCACCACCACAGGAACTTTCCCTCTATATGCGAAGATCTGAAGTTTCCCATCTGACCTGTGCACCACATGGCTGTTGATCTGGACACTGTAGCGTGCAAACAACCCAGGTGGGAAGGTAAAGGGAAAACTATATTCAATCTGCAACTGCTCAGCCACAAAAGACTGCCCAGCCAGGTTGGTCCCATTAATCCAGGCCTCTGCATGGGGCACCTCATTCTGCACATAGCATGGGAACTTGTACCAGGCCGTGGACCCATTCAAAGGCTTGCCCTTGGGTTTATTGAGGCAGTAGCAGAGTCCCATCTTCTCCAGCAGCTCCAGCAGCAGCTGCAAGTCCTGCTGGGCCTGGACATGAGGCTTAAGCAGCAACCGAATGACATGGGCCGGCAAGAGCCCATGAAGCAGAAAGCCCTCCACATAATGATGGAGCTGGGTGGCCCGGAGCAGGTCCTGGTTCGGTGTGGGTAGTGCCATCACTAGGGAGTTTTCCCCCTCACCCTCTCCTTCTCCATTGGTCCCTAGGACCAGCTTATGCAGCAACAAGGAAGGATCCCTCTGAAAAAAGACATTGAGGATGTCAATGAGGCGGGTGAGGTTGTGGAAGACGTGTTCCTTGAGGGCCGGGCTGTCCTCAAAGTAGAGCAGCTTGCCGCTCTCGTGCAGGTAGGACAGGGCGCTCTGCAGCCGGTCCTCAGTCAGACCTGCCTGCAGGCCCAGGCGTGCTGAGTCCCACCAGCTTAGCCAAAGCCGTTGTGCCTGAGGTGGCTGGAAATGCAGTTCCTCCAGCACCTGCCAGGACCGAGGCAGGACTCTGTGCAAGTTGGGGAAGATTTCCCGGTGCTCAGCTACCGAGAGCAGTTTGTCCCGAAGGCGCTGTAGTTGGCGAGGGTCCCTGCAGCTCACGGGCAACACGGGGGAGAGGATCTGCAGCCGATGGTTGAGCAGATACTGGAAGTGGGCCTTGCGCCGCCGAAGGTTCTTGTCTGAAACACCATAGTAGGCTGCATGGGGGCTGGCTGAGCGCAGTTCGAAGTCCCGGGCCAGCGCCTCGTCCACCACCTGGGCCAGATGGCTCAGCCCCTCTGCATCATGCTTCTCCTGCAGGGCTATCTGTCTGTGAATGTCTAGACACTTCTCTTCCAGCTCCCGCTCCCCACACAGGTCTGCATGCGTGCCCACAATGCACACCACGGCATGAGGCACCCGGGCCCCCACCCGATGCAAGAAGGAGCCCACCGTGGTAGAAAATCGTAGTGGCTCATAGGTGGCCAAGTTCACCACCAGCACATAAAGGGCCCCTGGGGAGAGAAAGAAGGGCTGGATCACCTCATAACTTTCATCTCCAGCTAAGTCATACACAATGAACCGCAGGCCCCGGGAAGCATCGGCTGTCCAGCTGGTCACCTCAATGCCCTTGCTCACAGGAGGAGGTGGAGGTGGGTAGCTCTTCTCCTTGTCCTCTCCTTCATTTCCCTCCACTCTGTCCTCAGTGAGGCAGTGACGGAGCAAGGTCTTCCCTGCAGCCTTATGGCCCATCAGGAGCAGCTTGAGGCGGGGCTGCACCGCTGGCTGGGAATGGGCCAGCTCCTTCTGGTAGGCTGCGATGTACGGGATCCCCTTCATACAGACCTCGTAGGGGGGCTGGATCAGTGGGTTGTCCTTGACCTTCCACAGGCCCACCCGGGAGAGCTGGCCAAAGTTGTCTGGCAGCACAGCAATCTGGTTCCCCTGCAGCACTAGTTCCTCCAAGCCCGTCAGTTCCACAATGGAGTCCGGCAGGTAGCGGATCCGGTTATTATCCAGCCACAGGGTGAGGAGCCGCCCCAGCCCTGAGATCAGGGATGGCACTGAGGTGAGCTGGTTGCGACTAAGGTAGAGCTCCTCCAGACCAGCCAGGGGCAGCAGCGCTGCAGGGAACTCCTCAAAGAGGTTGGAGGAGAGGTTGAGCATTTTGAGCCGCTGCAGATGGCTGAACTGGGCGGGCAAAGCCTGCAGCCTGTTGTTGTCTAGCATGAGGCTCTCCAGGCTGGCCAGCTCACAGAAGCCATCAGGCAGGGTGCCAAGCTCGGCCCCACTCAGCCAGAGGATCTTAAGGGCACGCAGGGCACTGATATCCTCAGGTAGGCCCCGGAGCCGGTTGCTGGACACGTCCAGCTCCTCCAGGGCCGCCAACTGCAGCAGCTGCCCAGGAAAAGCAGTGAGCTGGTTGTGGTCAACGTCGAGGGTGCGCAGGCGGTAGAGGGAGGAGAGGGAGTCCGGCAGGTGCGCCAGCCGGTTAAAGCTGACATCCAGCTCCTCCAGGTGGGCCAGAGCGCCCAGCTGGGCGGGCAAGGCAGGCAGCTGGTTGTGGCTGAGGTTGAGCTTGCGCAGCTCGTGCAGGGCGCTCACCACCTCCGCGCCCAAGGCGGTCAGACGGTTGTGGCTCACGTCTAGCTCTGTGAGGTGGTGGCCCAACTCGGCCACCGCCGGGGGCAGCCGGGCAAAGCGGTTCCTGCGCAGGACCAGGACCCGCAGGCTGCCCAGCGCCGACCCCAGCCCGTCTGGCACCTCCTCCAGGCAGTTGTTCCCCAGGTTCAGCACCTCAATGTCCCCGATGTTGGCCGGCAGCACGAGCTGGGGGGCGTCCGGGGAGTCGATCGAGTCGGCCCCGGCCTCGGGGCAGCCCCCGGCCGCGCTGAGGGTGAGCTGGCGCAGGTTGCTCCGCAGCTTCCTGGCACGCAGGGCGGCGTCCCGCCACAGCCTCACTGTCTTCAGATTCCCACTGTCCTTCCCTGCCATGGCGGGGCCCCGGGCCGACACCCTCACGAGGGCGCGGGAGCCCACAGCTACCTGCCCCGCTGCGCCCGAGCGGGCGCCGGTCCCCGGGTCCCTCTCGCTCCTCCCTCCCCACCACCCCTCGGCGACCGGCTGTGGGTCCTAGCGCAGCCAGCGGCCGGGCGCCCGCAGCTGGGGAGCGGCGGCGACGCGAGCAGCTCCGGGGGGCGCCGAGCCCGCGGCGCGGGGGGAGGCGGCGGCAGCCCCCGGGGAGTGCCGCTCGCATTCTCCTACCTCCTGGGCCATGGGCGCGCCGGGCAGCAGGGCTGCCGCCCGCCGCACCGCGGAGGATGCCTGCTGCTCCTCCTCCCGCTCCGCCCGCCTCGCGGCGTCTCCGCGCCCACTCCGGCCCCGCTACCCTCGCAGCCGCGGCCCCGCGGCCCGCAGCGGCGTCGCCTCCGCCAGCTCCCGGAGGGCGGCGCTTGGCTTCGCGGCGGGCATGTTGCGAGCACAGGGCCGGGGTGCAGCCGGGAGGAGGGGACGGCGGCGGCACCTCCCTGTCTCTGCTTCCCGGGGCCCGGGAGAGAGCCCGCGCGCCGCGTCCCCGGCTCTGGGAGGGCGCGATCGGGAAGCGGCAGCGCCGCCCGGCGGCTGGGCCCTCACGTGACCGGCGGAGGCGCCGCGTGTTCCCGGCACCGCCCCGGGGGCGGGCGCCCGACGCGGGGCTAGGGGTTCCTCGCGGGGTGCGGGCGCCGGTGCGGACCGCGCTTGGCGGGAAGCGCGCGGCGAGTGCGTCCTGGCTGCGGATCCGAGGCCTGGCCCTCTTGTTTGGGTTCGTCTGCGCCTGGCTCTTTGTTGGCCCTGCGCCTCGGTGGATTTCTCTTCTTTCCCGGGGTGTAGGCTTCGCTCTTTCCTGACTCGTTCTTTACCGCCCTGCCCCTTCCACTCCCCCTGCGGCCACACCGTGATGGCACTGGCAGAATGCAGGGGCCTGGGTTTATTGTAGGAGCTAATAACTACACAAAAGGAGAAACGCAAACAACCATTCATTCATCGCCTCTGTATTTATTGAGGCCCTATTTTGTGCCAGACCAGCTGGGACGTGTTCTGAGTGCCCCTGGGGACGGCCCTCAGCAGGCCTCACTGGGGGAGGAGCGGGGCGCCTGGTGAAGCACAGTTTTATCTGGGGTGTCCCATTTATATTCACTACAACCCTGTGAAATAAATACCATCTCCCCAAACGGTACAGGGCTCATTGTGCAGTAGGTTCAAGAAAATGGCCGTTTCAGGCAAAATTCACAGCTCAGTGCTCACTTAGAAGGTTGATATTTTCCTTCTGAAGAAATTTCCTTGAGGTCATATGTATGCTAAGTAAATGATGCCTTCAGAATTTACCAGCATCTTAAAACCTATTCTCTGGTTATCACGTCCATCACTGGCTCCAGATTAGTTCATATGAAACAAATGAGAGGACTAAACATCTCAGATGGAAAGCTGCCCAGGTGATGGTTATCAAACCTGCCCTACATCCTGTAACTGGAGGACCCTCCAGCAGGTGGGTGGCAGAGACTAAATGTGAGCACTTGCCAAGGAGAGCTCAGCTGTGTTCACCTGAGGATTTCCTGAAAGATCAAATTGCTGGAGGGTTCTGTGCCTCCCATCCCAAGAAAAATTCTAAGTCATCTACCAGTGATTCTCAACCTGTGGGTTGCAACCCCTTTGGGGGTCAAACGACCCTTTCACAGGGGTCACCTAAAACATAACAGTAGCAAAATTACAGTTATAAAGTAGCAACAAAAATAATTTCATGGTTGGGGGTCACCACAACATGAGGAACTGTATTAAAGGGTCACGGCATTAGGAAGGTTGAGAACCACTGGTAGACTGACCCTTTTTTTTTTCTACAGAGGGGGAAACAGGCCCAAGACATTAAGCAACCAGGTAAAGGGTAGAGTCAGGTGTGCCAACTCCCCGTGGAATTATTCCTCTGAGGGCATCATCTCTGTGGACAGACCCCAAATCTCCACCCTTCAGCTTCTTCTAACTCAAATCTTAACCTCAGCCTGTGCATGGAGGCTGGAGAAGGCATTGGCTCCCTACCTCAAATGGCTAAAATGAAGTCCTGCAGTGGTTTGGATTAGATCTAAATAATCTCTTCTAAACCATTCCCCTTTAGAAGCCATCAGAAAATTATACTTCCATTTTAAATGTCTCTGAAAAGTGTGCTCTTCCTCTGTCAGGAGATAATGTGTAATTTGCTTCATCTGATAAAGTGCTGGCGAGGACCAGACAACACCCTGTTCGGGGCCTCTCCTGGCCCTCACTGAGGCACCAAAGCCGGGCGTGGATGAGTTTGCTAGGCAGGAACGTTCTCTTTGAGCCCCTCAGCCTGCTACGTGCTGTTGCCGACAATATTGTGGGAAACCTTGTGGTAAAAAGTCTTGTTCAAGGGTTCTTTGAAAGTCAGATGAGAAGAATGCAATGATACAATTAAACTCCAGGAAAAGATACGTGTCCTGTGTGGCTCTCAAACCCTGACAAAGAGTTTGCCCTGGGCACTGAACCTGGTCCTCTCTTGCCACACCCCACCCCTTGTGGTCAAGCTTCTGATGGGCCAAGGGGCAGGATGGACAAGCCTCTTAGTGTGAAGGACACTGAAATCCCTGTGCAAACAGCCTCAAGCCTGCTTGTGGAAGGTGGGGCCCTCTTTAATAGTTAATGGGGAGTTAAGTGAGCATTCCAGGCCTCTGGGGTGTGGATGGAGTTTGACTGTCCCTCTGTGCCAACAGGCTCCTCATTGTGCTGGATGGAGCCCAGGTTAGATTGAGGGGTGTGGGTGTGCCACATTTGCCAGCCTGATGTAGCACATTTAACCATTTCGGCACCTGGTACATAGGTCTTCATTTTAGTCCTGCCCCAGGCCCTGCATGTGTTAGGGTTTTCCTAAAAGAAAAAAAAAAATGATCATCTCGGTTTGGAGACGAGGGATTCTGATTATTCGAAGTTTTCTTGCCTTGGATATTTATCCAATGCCGTGGACCTAATCTATAAACTTGCCCAAATCTTTTCATTTATCCTGTTTTTCCTGCTCTGAGACACTATTTTCATTTCAGCTACTGCCATACGATTGCAGTAACGTCCCACACTGGCTTTCTCCCAGGGCACACATCTTTTAGGGGAGCAGGAGAACATGTGTCAAGAAATGGGGTCGAGCGAGGTTTTAAAAGAGGTGACTAGCTAGAGGGGAGGATCCTGTACATTCTGGGCAAGAGGCTTCCATTTAAATGTAAGTATCTGTCAGTAGCAGTCTGGACGGCCCAGGCAGCAGGGCTGCTCTGCTCTCACCTTGGTAGACTGGCGCCATGCTCCAAGGAAGCTTTCGTCCTTGATTTCTTTTGCTCTGTCTTCAACATACTGGACTTTCCTCCATCTTGATAGACTGTTTTTCTTGCTCTTGCTGACCCCCTAACTACTGTCTCATTGCCCGACCTCCTTTCTCTGTCAGATATTGTACATAAGTGGTCTGGGCCAGTCCGCTGTCCCACTGGTTCCCTCCTTGGGCCCCGTACTCTGGCTTGGTCCCCAGTATGCCAGCACATTGCTCTCTGGAAGCTCACTCACCCTTCGTCCTTCCTTGACCTCCCATCATTGAAAATGTTCAGCAACTTCCTTGGCAACGTTCTCACCTCCATGGTTTTAATCAGGCCACACCCCTCTGGGCTTGATTTTGTTGGAGATAAAGTGGAGGAAGTCAAGGGAAAGACAGAAGAAGGCAAAGAACGGCACGTCCCTCTAAAAGGTTTTAGGCTTGTTCCAAGGAGGATTAGAAATAAAGCTGAATTTGACATAGGACATTTTAACCACAGGGGATCTTCAAGGTCACGTCATCTAAACTCTTTGTATTGGAGCTGGCTGAGGTATCTAAGAATAATCTCTAGTAATAAGAGCTAACACGTATTAAAGGTTTCCTGTCACTCAGGCACTGTGCTGTATGCTTTTCATGCATCATGTCATTTAATCTTCACAGCAGCCTTGAATAGCAGGTCCCATTCTTATCCTCATTTTATAGATGGAGAAAAATGAAGACAGAGCTAGTGAGTGGCAGAATCCAGACTCACAATGAGGCCGAGTCCAAAGCTCATGTTTTAATCACTGTGCTGTTTCTTGGGGGTGAGGGGGTGGAGGGGAATGGGTCTAAGTTCACTCGTCAGCCGACTGTATTTTAAGCTGTAGAGAAGGGGTACCAGCTGGAGAGCAGGGATGACAACCTGTCTTCAGTAAAAGTGAACTTTGCTCTTACAATATGTATCGGAGAATGTCCTATTGGGCAAGCCAAAGGTTTAAATAAACAGTATCCCCAAACTACAAGAACTAGGTTTAACATCTGTTATTAACTGTTACAGCGAGAAACAGAATTTATCTGCTATTTTTAGATAAACTGTGTTTGATTTGTTTATTTGCTTACTTTAAAGAAAGGATTAAATACAGTGTCCATAAAAATCCATACTTCAGCCCTGGCTGTTTGGCTCAGCAGTTAGAACATTGGCCCTTGGACCAAAGAGTCCCTGGTTCGATTCCGGCAAAAAGCACGTACCTCAGTTGGGGTTCAGTTGCTGACCCTGGTGTGTCTCTCTCATGTCGATGTTTCTCTCTCTCTCTCTCTCCCCCTCCCACTCTATCTGACGATAAATGGAAAAACATTCTTGGGTAAGGATTTGAAAAAAAAAAAATCTATACTTCAATTAGAGGGTATTTCAGATTCTGTCTTTTGAGATGAAGATTTTTAAAAAAAGAAGGTAAAATACTAAATGATCAAATGACATATTTTGTTTGGTTAAAAAAAAAAAAAACTTTCCTTACCCTCCTTTCCCCAAATGTAATGAATCTGCCTTGGACTCACCGTCTGATTTGAACGAGAGCCGGTTCATATCGGCATTGGCTAAGAAGTCTGAGAGTGATCACTTAACTTCCAACAGGGAGCATAAAAAAATGTGTTCAAGACACTGGCTCCTCCTGAGAGCAAAGGCAAAATTGTACCAAAATGTCTGTTGTTTTTTCTTTCCCTTGCTCTACAGAAAACAAATTTATCTT